AGAAAAGTTAGCGTGTGCTTTTATCCCAAAAATATTATTTGTTATAATCGTATGTAAATATATATATGCTTACTGATAAAATTACATTTTCAATAATTTCAGATAAAATTACTTATTTTAAATAACAAAATATCGAGGGTTGTGGAAATTGGGATTTTTTGACAATCTATTCATTTACAAATCGGTTTATTAACTTTTAGATATTCCAGAGAATGGCAGTGAATTGATTGAGGCGACTAGTTGCGTCTGATTATTTCCTATATTTGCATAGCGTATGGGTTGGCTAGAGAGAGGATTTGGAGGATGGGTGGGATGGGAATTCATTGCTCCTCCGCAAACTTACCAGATTTCTTTATGAATCTTAGCAGTTTGTCGAGGGAAGAGAATGTTGGTCATCCATTCTCAATACTTCCGTCCCAAAAATGTACCAACTAAGTCTGATGAAGACCGGACTTCTGAGAAGGAATTTTGCTACCATTTTGTCAGGCCTTTCCAGGAAATACTTGGTTGTTTTGCAGGCGTCAATAATACACCAACGGCTCTCATAAGTTTTATTAATGAAATTCTTGAAGTATCCGACTGTTTCCTCTTTGCTATGGTAGGGTTAAAACCAGGACGATTGTAACCGCAAGGTCAAGGGATTTTCTTAGGCTTACAAAGCCGTTGCTCTCAACTCTGGTCGTTGTTTTCACAGGACACTGCCCGATTGGAATTTATGCCGCAAGATTAAATATCACACCACATTCTCTATGTAGCAGCTGTTGTGAAGGATGAAGAAGTGAAACTATCTCAAAAATTTCTCTAAAGGCTACGATATAACACCTTGAAACGCTCGTTTTAAACAGTACTGAGAAGTTCCACGGAACTCATATTAGCCGCTTGTGATTCTAGCGTGGCCGGCGGTATCTCTGTTAAGAAACAGAGAAATTACCTTCAAATTAGGTTTTTACAGCAAATCTGTATATGCAACTCAGGGGGAGGCCTGCTTTCACCGCTTTTATGGCTTGTGGTCTTGAACAGACTTCTAGGTAATCTAAATTATCAGGGAATCAAGCAGGCGACGATCTAGCCATGCTGATATCCGGCCAACTTCATTCGTTTACAAGCGAAATCATGTCTAATGGGCCATAAATTGTTTTCTCTGTTCTCTTTAGAAAAAACATAAAATTACCTAATTTTAAAATTTTCAAGTTTTCAAAATAGATCTCTTACATAGATTGAAATTTTTTGTAGTTGTTCTGGACCCCAAACGAATTTGGAGGATGAACATGGCGGAGCGAGCCAAAAGCGCGCTAGGCAACAATAGGGGATTTTACCTTTCCCTAACTAAGGATTACATCATTAAAAATTCGGTAGAATTTGGAGGTCAGTTAATGTTGGCCTAACGGGTATGGTGAGACGCGGCGGCACATGGAGGCTGAAAACGTTCTGTTCGATTTAGCACCGATAGATCTTCCTTGGTTAGCTCGCAAATTGTGGAAGACAAGGCATGGAGACTATATGGGAATGAGATGAACCAGTGAGGTGTGTCTCTGCTCTTATACAGTGTTAATAGGATAACGCATTTTAACAAGTTTTGGCTATTTTTCATTTTGTGTTATTAATGTTATTTTTTATAAAAGTATAGCTCACTATCTAACAAAAACCATGTAACTCCAAATTTCAAACTTTTTACAAAAATTGGACAACTCCGACAAAGTTTCATCAAAATTCCCATCAGAATTTGTAGAACAAATTTACATACGAAAAAATTGTCGAACATGCTGTGTATAGAACAAAATGGTGATACCGTCAGCAAAAAAATCATTATAGATCCACGAGATTCGACTTCCACTTTAGTTAAAATTTAGAGGCCTATAAAAATGCAAACCAATTTTTTGCTTCTAAAAATTGTCGAATTTTCCTAATTTTTGTACAAAGTTTGAAATTTGGAGTTATTTACATGGGTTTTCTTAGATAGTGAGCTACAATTTAAAAAAAAAATAGTAAACATTAAATAGGTTAAAGAAAAATAGCCAAAACTTGTTAAAGTGTCGCGACCCTATTAATTTGTCCGGCAATAGTTCTGTTCGCTATGCAAAAAACTTGTACAAGCTTATACAAATTGTTACCAAATCGCGTTCGTTTGGACAGAAAACTTGTAAAACTTGCAAGGAGAGAGCGCAATTTTGAAATTTCATTTGCAGAAGTTGCACATCCGTGCTGGGAAAATTTTTGCCAGAAAGAATTTGGGAGCAGTATTGCGATTTGCGATTTGCTAATGAAAGAAGTATGTAAATATTTGTTTAGCTAATTAATTTAATTAATTCCAGTGATTGGAAATGTACATATGTACTCGGCTGGAAAAAGCTGTATTCGTAATCTGAACGCAGTCGACGCCACTGTCGATATACATAGTAGGAAATCTGACAGTGACTAGGTACTAAGTACAAAGAAATTGAAGCACGTGTTGAAGAAAGTCAGAATAAGTAGAAACTTACGTCTAGGATCTGTTTTGTTGTCCACTTGAAATAATTTAAAAACTTTACTATGCTCAAAATGCTATATGGATGCCAGCTGGTAGTGAATTTTCGCAATCTTGTGCGCGCTTAACTTTGTAAGTTTCGCTCTTTGGGAGAGTAAGATACCTTATTCTCTGAATTTTGTTGCTTGCTAATTCTTACTGGCTTTTCCAAACGAACACAACTAATGTATGTCCAAGGCGGTGAATTAGGGGGTCTCGTTCAAAAAACAGAATTAACGAAATTTTATGCTCAAATGTTAACCAGACAGATCGAAAATACCAGGGAAGATACCTATAAAATTACAACTGTCCGCATACCTGTCATAAGCTAGCTTGAATTAAATACTTTCTCGCATGTTACTTTGAGACTGAACGCGGCCTGTTTTGCACACAAAATGCTTGTATGTGGGCCACAAATTTGAAATTCACATTTGCTACTTCATACGCAATAACTTATGCAACCGAATTGAATGAATTAAAAAATTCTAATTTAAATAAAAATGCATTTCTCAAAAACATTTCACTATACTCACATTGATTTTGTCTGTAACCATTTTGATCGGCATTGTAGAAGACAGTGATGTAACGTCCATCGGTCTGACGGTAGGAGTAATAGCCAACCACAACCAGCGTTTTAACTTTGTCATAGACAAGAAAGTAGCCACGTTCATAGCGCGCAGTACCATCAGCCAATTCGTATCTGAACTCGTAGCTGCCATCCGGGAAGCGATGGTCGAAACGATCCAAAACATTCTTTTCTGTTACTGGCTCCTGTTGGGGTCGCTGTTGTTGTTGTTGCTGCTGCTGCCACTGCTGTTGTAGACTGCCACTACCAATATGATTATTATGCAAATATTGATTTTGGTTATTTGTAAAATATGCCGAAGCAGATGCATCGCTTTGCTGTGAGCTGGCGGCGTATTGATTGTTTGGACGCGGTGAATTGCTATTAACAGCCGCTTGCGTGCAAGTCAAAGCCAAGCAACAGAAAGTGATAAATGCAAATATTGTGCGACACATTTTTTTTTTGCGTACGCTTGACAAATTAATCCTTTTCAGAGAAAAAAGCCACAAAAGCTTTTCACAACTTTTAGCGGTAAGTTGCAATTCGTGCGAGCGTGTGTGTGTGATTGTGTTTATTGGTGCGCGCGGTGGGAGTATGTGCGTCTGTTTTGTTACTCAGAAGCAGTTTAATGTAAATACTGGCTATGCGCACGCTTTTATAGTACTTAGCTGCTGACAGGCAGGCGTACATACATACATATGTATGTAGATATGTAGATATATGCCAGTATAAATGTACACATCTGCGCGCATCTATGTAAATAAAGTTGTCAAAAATTTGAGACGCTTCATCAGCGCGCGCGCGCGCGCCCCAAGCTGCTCAGCGAGTAGGCCGACCGATCTGCTGGGCGGTGGACTGACTGTCCTGCTGACTCTTTGGCGGCGAGCGTAATCACAACCGGCATCTGGTGAGAATGCTTTGAAACCGCTCTTATGCGCGCTTACATTTACGTACATAAACAACGTAGAAACATAAATGCGCACGCACAGTCTGCCCCACCTGCTGCTGCTGCTGCCGCTGTCGGCGCTGCCTTGATTGCTATTTGCCACACAGCGTGTTCTAAGGTTAATTTACGTTTTTGATTCTAATTTGCAACGGCACTCAAAAATTTGTACGCGCGCGCGCGCGCACTTTTCGCTTGCGAAGGTACAGAAATAAATGGAGCGCAAAAATAGCGCTTTCGTTCGTTAAGCCGCAGCCGCCACCTCAATGAAGATCACATTGAAGATTGCGCTGATAAGTGATTTGAATTTTTTTCCTCTCGTATACATACACACACACACACGAATATGTATGAATAATTGTACAGAAAATCGTGTGTACATTTTTACCTGTACGTTGACTAATTCCCGCCTTTTTGTCATTCGCTCAAAAATTTCATCTTTACTTGTTGAGCCTTATCTGATCTCGACTGCGTCTTTTACGCGGTCGCAACGCGAAAATGGGCTCTATACAACATAAATATTGCGGGGAGAACGTGCTCCAGGCCTTAAATGTTTTTTTTTTGTGTTTGTTTGGAAGTGCTCAGCGCATACGCACATACTGCTCGCGTTGCTTTTAATGGAACGCTTGAGAGAACGCGAACAGAATTGGTGTGTCTGAACAATCCAGTGTTTCATATAATTCTACGGTACATTATGTATTACTTGCCACCAAAAAGTATGTCACACAAAAATTAAATTTGCTGCCATCAAAATTGTTGTCTTTACACTTGTCATTTTAACGGTTTCAAATATTTTCCCATCTTATTCATTTTGAGATTATAATCGCTTTTATACTTTTAAGTAACTTTGCAAAAAAAAAAAAAACAAACACAAATAAGTAAATGGTTATTAGCGAATGTTTTTTTTCCTGTTTTTTAGGTGTGTGCTCGTTTATATTTTTATGATTTAGTTATATTACATTCAAATAAAATTGAGTTTGTTAACCCTCTTTATATTAATGGGATGCTGCAAATGTAGACCAGTTTGTACGAGATATTAATTGATGAGTTTTTTTTAATATATTCTATAAATATAAAATATGATATCGGAGTACCTCAATGAATATAAAAAAAAATATCAAAATCCATTGGGCGTTTTTTTCTATGATAACACTGTACGGCAAAATCAAATTTGTTTCTGGGTATTGGACCAAACCAATTTTTTTAAGAGATTGAGTCATATTTAGCTAAAAGAGTAATTTCTACGTTTTTTGAAGTTAGCCTCCGAAATCGAGATATGGGCCTTCGAAGTTCGAAATAGGACCTTTGGTAAAAAATTATATTTAATTATTGCATATAAATAACCAGAAACCTAAAAATATAGACGTAGTCCCCCTTTTGCTCTTATTTAAATGGTATATAACTTTTTTTTGCAAACTTTTAATTTTTTTGTTTAAGATATATTTATTTTTATACAAAAAAAGGTATATTTTCCTTTGAATGTGTTTTTTCTCAAATTTTTATATCCGAAGTATATAAATATGCATATCACAAGAAAGGGGATTAAATCACCTTCATAACGATAAGAATCTTTCAGTTAAAAATTTTCTGAAATATTATGTTTTTAATTTTTCGAAGATCTGACCATTGACCAGTTATAGCACCTGTAATATAAGTTTTCACAAAAAAAGTTGTATACCATATAAATAAGAGAAAAAGGCGGGCCCCATCTGTATTTTTACTTTTATTGCTTTTTACATGCAATAATTAAAACTAATTTTTAACCAAAGGCCCAATTACGAACTTCGAAGGCCCATATCTCGATTTCGGAGGCTAACTACGAAAAACGGAGAAATTACTTTTTTACCTATGACTCAATCTCTTAAAAAAAGTTGGTTTGTACAGTGTAATTTTTATTAATTCAAAGATTCTACAATTCACAAAGTTCGTATTTTACTTCTAGTTTTAGTAATTACATTTGAAAATTCAAAAATTAAACGATTACCTGTGAACACTATTGTAGTAATTAGTGTTGTCAGATTTTTTTTCCAACCATACGGCACAAATGAGTAATAAAGGATTTCCTTTAAAAGCCCAACTACGAACGATATAGTATTAACAAAGGTGATCCATTTCGACGAAGTAATACTCAGATTAGTTATAATATTATGATAATTTTCGTTTATTTCATGGCAACACTTTTTAATTTATACAAAAATATGTACATACGTATGTACGTAAACATATAATTGACGAAACCATAAAAACAAAGTAAGAGATACAGTTGCGGTCAAAATAATAGCA